AGAGCTGGAACGTCAGAGAAGTCAGCTCACCAGATTAACACATTTCAGTTCAATTTTGCTCTGCCTCTCACTAGGGACAGTGAGCCGGAAAGTACACAAGTGATTTTTGTAGGTCACTGCTGAGCCCTGCCACCCACTTACGGGGATGGCAGAGCAGTGAGTGGGTGGCTGGCCCTGAGGTAGAGCTCACCTGGACAGGGTGATCAGGGTGGCCAGAGCTCTGCTGGCAAGTGTGGGCAGGACTGGAGGCAAGGAACACTGCTGCCTGTTTGTCCCCTTGCCCAGCAAAACCGCACTGCATGCACAGGGTGGGGGGGAGTCTCTTCCCCAGGTCACACACGGCAAAAGACTGGCAGGGTCTCTTTCAAGGCCCGATCAAGGCAGTGGTGGAGCCATCAACAGCCCCCTTCTCACAACAGTCTCCTCCTACAGCCTCTTCTTCCCTCTCCATGCCAAAGGATATGAATGGCTGGGCCATGGAGGCCCCAGGGCTTCATTCTTCTCTGGCTCAGCAGTGCGAGTCACCATGCCAAGTTCCCCAGCAGCAGTCGCAAACTTTAGCCAGGGACAAGGTACTGCACATCTTCCTCAGCCTGCTTGGTGTCCACTGGTGCTCCATGTCCCACTGGTCCTGTTTCAAGCCCCAGGCACACCGGGTACAGCCAGGCAGCCTGGCATGGGGCATGTGGGTGTCATGAGTCCATAGCAGCCTGCTCTGACCCAAGCTGTGTCCCTGCATGGGCAGGGCAGCAGAGGGACCAGCAACCCTCCATTGCCTGGGGGAAGGCAGAAGCCAGGCTGGAGTCACCTGGGGGAAAACAGTCATCTTTTGGGGGAACACTTCAACATCTGTCCACCCTCTAAGATCCTTCGCTGGGAGACCTCACCTGCCCGATAATCAAATGCCCTGCTGCGCTTTCCAGCAGGTCATTCTCCCAAGGTCCATCCAAGATGGTCTCTAACAGAGCACCCCAAACAGCCCAGAGCTGCCCCATCCTAAGCACGCCTGGCCGGAGTACCCTGGACAGATGCAAGGGCTGGATGGAGAAATATATTGAGGTGAGCCATTCACCACTATGAGAAGCAGGCTCCCACAGCTGCTGCTCCTAACCTCCTGCCAGCACCTCTTGCCTGCACACGGAGTAACCCCCAGGATAGGGCTCATAGGACAGGGGGAGGAGAGCATCCCCTCCCTCCCCCCCACAAGTTCATACGTGGAGAAAGAAAGGAGCAGAAGGGAGCCAGGAACCGGAGTCAGAAAGCAGAAGCCGAGCGCCCAGGCCGGCTGCGCAGTGCCACACGTGGGCTGTCGGGCTCTATTTTAAATGCTGTGTGGCAAATATATGCAGGATGAAATCCAAGCAGAGGGAAGGGGAGGGTGCTGGGTGGTGGAGGTGTTCAAAATTAGGAGCTGAGCTCAGGCGAGGATGGCTTCTGGGAGCAGATGGGGGAAGAGCTGGAGCTGGGGCCCGTGTGAGATGTGCAGCTGGCCCTGGCTGTGTGCTCCCAGGATGAACTGCCCCCGTGGTGAGGGGTGCAAGAGGGGCACACTCCCCTCTGCCCTCTCAGCAAGGTGGGGAGAGCATGAGAGCAGCGACGGCTAGGCAACCATGGCAAGGATGCCCAGGGCAGCTGCAAGCCAGGCTGAGGAGCCAGCTTCTTCAGTGGCACAAAGGAGACCTCTGGTCCCTTCAGCACAGCTCCTGGCATGTGGGTCACCCCAAAGACACCCCAGTCCTCAGCATGTTTACAGGGCAGCCTTCCTAGCAAAGAGGATCTGCATCACCCGCATTTCACAGGCAGGGAAGGCAAGGGATGTGGGGACACCGGGCTGAGCCCCTGGCAGAGCAAGGAACCAAGCCCTGCTACCCTCCTCGCCTGTGGACGATCCTCCGCACTCACAAAGCCAGCTTGATTCTGCTCTCCCCTTCCAGACCGACCCCGAAAAAGCTGCTAACATCTCACTGCACTTTGCAAGATGCTCATGAACAGCACCCCAGCAGCCAGGAGCACAGCGAGGCTCTGATGGGAGCTGGCAGATCTGGGATGGTACCTGCCCTACATTTACAGAGCAGTCAGGTTGACAGAATGAGCAAGTATTTATATAGATTTTGGTGGCAGCAGTGTTATTCACCGGCAGCAAGGCGGGGAAGGAAGGGAGATGGAAAATATTTTCATTTAAGCTCTTTTCTGCATTCTTGCTGCTGGAGTCACGCATTATTCATGCACCCCTCATAACCAGGCTGGTGGCTCTGGGTTTTGCTCAGAAGAGACTGTGCAGAATTAAGCAGCCGGTTAAATTATTAATAGTCTGTCGAGGGGTGCCCAGGATGCCCACTCCCAATCCCTGCTGCCTTTTGGGGGGCTCCAGTGCCCCCCACAGGCACAAAAGCCAACTACAGCCGTTTGACAAACCTGTTGGCTGTTCTGGCCTACTTAGAGCCCGCAGACACTCTGTTCTTCTTGCCTGGAAACGACCGGGCTTCAAAGCCTCGCTGGATGGGTCCTCCTGCTCCTGGTCTCGCTCACCAAAACTGGGCAGGTGCCAAGGGGCTGCAAGTGTTTTACACCACCAGCGTGTTTGCGGCAGCTGGAACAGGCACGGGCAGGATGAGGAAAGGGGAAAAAAGCCCACCAGGCAGGGCAGAAGCTGCAGAGGCACCTGTGTTCAGCTGAAGGCACTTTCTTTTCACAGCTAGACCAGCAAGAGAATTGCCACACGGGGCTTTGCATTCAATGCCACATCTGCAGGCTGCAAAACAGCATCTGAGTGTCTGAAGTCTGTCAGTCTGTCGGGGGCCGCTCCCCAGCCGTGCCAGGACAGACACTCAAAGGGTGGAGGATGCAAGGGCTGGGCTTTACACCCAGCCAAGCATGTCAGACTGGCTCTCCCCACCCACAGCAGAAACTGTCCCCATCAGACATGTCCTGCCCCCACATCCAGCCCTCAGCTTCCTTCCTAATCCCTCCAGTTTCCTTCCTGCAGCCTTGACATCTGTTTTCAGACAGCTAAATACCACTCACAACAGCTGCTGCCCCACAAAAGGCCCGAGCTGAAATTTCATGTGGCAGAACACAACAAACATGGACTGCAAGGTGGGCACAAGCAGCCGGTGCTCAGGTCAGCCCCAGCAACTTCCTGCTCGTGGCCTTGCGTCTCTCCTTCTCCTTTCTGTTAAGGATAAAGCTGGGCTGGAAACACATGGGTCAGCGCCATGGCCGTGCAGCCTGGCCACAAAGACCTGCCAGTTCTAACAGAGCTTTTTTTGGCTCGTTAATTTTGTGCTGGGAGAAGTGTCAGACTGACAGCCCCAGGGACAATCTTTCTTTTGCAGGATAGCGCTGGCACAGGCCACATGTAGCTTTTCAGGCCGAATGTAGCTTTTCAGGTGATTTCATTTTTGTCTTCTGGCTTATTTTTATCCTTTGGGATGTGTGTCAGACTGGTTGAGTTAAGCAGGAGTCCTCCTCCTCCCCATTGGATCAAGTTACTTGGCAGGCACTTTGCCTGGGTGCAGCCGGCTCCCTTCCCTTTCCACCTCACGGCTTCCATGCTTGGGCTCTCCTCACTACTGCTAACCAGAGCCGAGGCTGCAGGCTCTGACTCCGCCACAGTCCTGACACTTGTTGTTCCACTGCCCCTAACATTTTGGTCCTCAGACCAGCCCTCCCACATACCAAGGGCCGACAGCCCCCAAAGTCCGGGCTCCAAATCCTCTCTGCCCCTTCAGGGTCATCAGCCATCCCAGTCCTTCCAGGACTTGGGGCTCCCCCAGCAAAGCCTGCTTCCCTCCAGTGGCTTGCTCTCACCACCGATGTGTCTAAAACTCGCCCACAGGATAGGGATCACCAGCCCAAGCTGTCGTCCTTGCCAAGCACCAGTGGGATAAAGGGGGTGGACCGCAGTGAAGCCTCATGTATGACCAGGAAAGCAACAGTGAGTGGGTGGGTGATGATGCCATGGCCTGGGGCTCTGACCACGAGAGACACCAGGGAAGAAAGGAGACGACAGTGATCTGCCATGGCCTGCTCATGGCACGGCTCCCCCCCGGCGAGGCAAAGCATTGACTTGGGCAGCGAGGAGACACAGGAGCTTGAAACTCAACAGTGTGTGAGGCTCTAGGCAAGGGGCTGGGCCACTTTTCCTTGGCTTGGGGGTCAAGGTGATACCCAGGAAAGGACAAGCGAACTCTGCACAGGACCCCACACTCAGGTAAGCCTTTATGAACAGGTCATGCCAGCCCACTGGAGCTCACCCCCCGTTGCAGTGGACAGAGCTGAGCTGGAAGAGTCACAGATACCCTGAAAGGATTTTGAAACAAGGACATTACTGTAAAAACCAAGGCTGCTCAGCCCTTCCTGAAAGCAACTGAGTCTGATGAGAAAATTCTCTGCAGCACTTGATTGACCTTCAAAGTTGGCCCTGCTCTGAACAAAGGGCTGGGCCAGAGTCCTCCAGAGGTCCCCAAACCCAGTTTTTGCCGCATGTACCTTATGCTGTGGCTGGCCTTTGCTGCCCACCACGCCGCCAGGCCTGCCCGCACAAACCTGCAGGTGGTGCAGGTATCTATGCAAGCTCCTAGCCGGCTGCTGGGATGTCTCACAGCACGCCAGGGGAGTCTGACACTGAATTTCCATGAGAAAAGGCTTACAGGATCGTGCCAGGGTTTCCCAGAGCTGCGACAGTCAGCCCAACTGTGCACTGACTGGCCCAGCTCTGCAGGGTTGTGTACAGGGATCTGCCACCTTCCCTGCTCAGAGCGGATGGGGAGACATAAAACCATAGGAGAACAAACTCCTGCCCTCCTGTGGGAAATTACACAATGTCTCCAGCCACAGGAGCGCGCAAGGGAAATCTTCACTGCCTCCTGAAGGGCTGAATGCCTGCAGAGGAGGGCCACCCCTCCCAAAAAAGCAGTATGGCAGGACCAGCAAACACCACCTTGGTGTTTTTGCTCTCCCCTCCCGCCGGGAGCATGAAGAAAGTAAGAGACCCTTACGTCAGCAGTTCTGCTGGCTGTGGCTCTGCTGGAGCAGCAGCTGCCGGGGGCTCCGCCAACACAGGACTGGGGGCTGCGTCCTGGGCTATGGCCAACTCCTGCGTCTCTGCAGCTCCCCCAGCATCCAGCGCTGGGATGTGCTCTGCTGTTGTCTCTACCTCAACCTCCTGAGCTGCAGGGGACAGTTTCACCCTTTCAGCTTCTGCGGCAGCCTCCTCCTCCTCCTCCTTCTTCCTTAGCTTTGCCTCCAGCTCTCGGCGCCTCTTCTCATCATCCTGCCGGGCCATCCGCTCAAAGACTTTGAATGCCTGAAAGATAAAAAGCAAACTGATCAGGTAGTGAAGCCACAAAGCTCTGTCTGAGAAGCTGGGCGAAGAAAAGAGAAGCATAGCACACTTGAGGCACTTATCACTGCCCCTCCTTCTGTGGACACCACACGCCCCCCCCACTCCCTACATGGAGTTGCTTCAATTGCCAAAACCAGCTGCCAACTATTTTAAAACTCACACAGCCATGTTAAACACATCTCAGGAGAAAGCCCAAGTTCTTGGGAGCCAGTTTGAAATTGCTGAAATCCCTTTGCCACTGGGAAAAGGGCTGGTTACTCCAGGGAAAAGCAACAAGCTCCAACTTCCAGCTGGGAACGGGGCTCTGAGGGTGCCATCACCGCTCCAGCCTCCCCTCACCCTGTGTTCCAGTGCTCACTAAGGGCCCGTTTACAAGCCCAAAGCTCAGAACAAACCTCTGAGGCACAAACAGGATGAGCCACCCCTGGAGAAGCTGGAAGATGGCTTACCTGGTGCTGGCTGAGCCTGAACAGACTTGAAGGTCTCTTAGCCAGCACAGGTGAAGGAGCAGAGTGACCTCATGTGGGGTTTTCAGCCAGAACTGACTGGTTTAGGCCAAAAACATGCACTTGCTCAGAGAAAAGCCATCCCTCTCCACCCCCAGAGGTGTGGCAGGTAAGAAGGTCACTGCCCAAGCCAGCAGCAGCAGGAGAAGATGTAATCCCACCCTGCAGTTTGCTTCTAACTGTGCCTGTCTAGCGCAGGCTGGAGGTTCAAAGTTAAACCCGTAACTGTGGCACGCAGCAGAGGGAGGCATGGCCATCTGGGACCTGCACCTCAAAGACGTAACTGAAGCGTCTCCCACCCAACTGCCAGGCCATTTGTCACTGTAAACACATGGTGGAAAGCAAGCAAGCCTCAAACACAGCTCTCCCTCTCTTCCTGGGAATATTTCAGAGCCAGCTCCAGTGTTTTCAGTGGGAGATGGACCCTAAGCTGCACACCAGCCTGCAGCACCACTCAGCTGAGTCTTCCTCCAGGCATAGGACTCATAAGGCAAAGGGACACAGTGCTAGGAAGGCTCCCACCAGCGCAGCCGCAGCAGCACAGGACCAGCTTTATCATGGTGTGTCCTCATGCCCCTCATCCCGACCTTCTTCCCCATGCAGGGACCAGCCCGTGGGATGAGGATGTAGGAGAAACGAGTGCTGGGCATCGTCCCCGTTCCCTTTGCTTCCTTCTTTGCAATTGCTTTTACTCCGCACAAAGCTGTGGTGCCCATCTCTGGCTCCTTCTCCACAGCAAAAGCCTGAGCTCAAGCCAGCCCCACATGGACTGTGCAGAGCGACACCTCAAAACCATGTTCATCCCCTGGGCTGTGGTCAAGCCAGGAGGGGGAACGAGTCCCTTCCAAACTTCCCCCCACACTCCAGGTCCCTGTGGCTGCAGCCACAAGACCACCCTGGGCAACAACCTTCAAGGGAATGAACGCTGCAGCACTGCAACTCCTTTCTTGTGCCCAGGTCCAAAATGGTCCCTGAGGGGACGTGAGACAGGTCTCCCACCATTGCTGCTCTGCTGCCAAGTGGTTTAGGCTCCACGCTCTCCCCTCTGCAGCCCGAAACATCCCTGAGCTCACCTGCTCACCCTCAGAGTCCAGTGCACTCCCACTGGGGGGACTAACCCCAGGACATGGGGCTGAGGGGTGAGCAGGACCCCCTTGTGATGCGGACCACCGCAGGGGAAGGTGACAGGGATCTCCCATCAGCCTGCCTGCATCACCCCCAGCCTGCCAGACCTGGAAAGGGAAACTTGCCTGGTCTGAGCAGGTGAACACCCCAAATCCAGCCTTATACCTATTTTTATGAGTTCATTTCCTCCCTGCTAATAAAGATTAATAACAGGCTGGAACAGCCCTGAGTCAGAGACCTCCAGCACTGCCCCAGCACAGAGCTCAGCCCAGCCAGCCAAAAACAGCAGGGCAGGGCTTTCGCCATCTTTCACCCATGATCCAGGCAAGCCTGGTGCTGGCTCCTGCTGAGCAGAGCCCAAACCAGCTGCCCACACAACTCCCAGGGGCCCTGCCTGACTTTGGCCACTCTCCTGGCTCCCTGCTCCCATTGCTCATGGTGGCAGCT